TGCTGGAGGATCTTCACTTAGTGACACATTGCAAACTTCCTTCTTAGGGACCTGCATCCTTACTGGTGTAACTTTTATTGGGTTTTATAGTTTTCATTATGTTTGTTAATGGACTTAGAAATATAAAGTGTCACCGAAAGTATTCACAGGATTGAGACATCACGTTCTCTATTCCAGTTGTGTAAAGTAACCATGTTTCCCCTTGGTGATCAATATAAACTACCCCATGTGCAACAGCAACCCAGCTATTTGCAACATTAGCTTGCAAATGAATCAGAGAATGGCCAAATGGTAGATTAAAAAATTGTTATTTGCATAACAACATGTCCCTTAAGAACTACACACTGATGGTGCACTGTTCTAAGTTTTCTCAGTCTCTTATTCCAATCAATCTCAACTGACTTCAGTGGCTACCACTTGAAAGCACTGCACATCCATCCCGCTCCATCTACACTTTTGCTTTGAGACATCTCTGGCTCCACACAGCAGGATGTCATGAGGAATCTCCTCAGCACTCAAACAAACATTAAGATCTAATCATTTCTATGAACTGTTATACAGAATGTGAGGTGAAGATCAAAATTTTAAAATTTTGACTATGGAAATTCATTTTTTCCAGTATTATTTATTAAAGAGACTACTATACTAGATTTACACCAGTAAAATGAAATATCTTAGTACAATCAACTTAGAAATAGGTTCATTAGCTCACAGTTTGAAGGATTCAAATGCCAAATGGCTTAGTGCAGCCTTGGCTAAGATCACCTCTTGCATTATCTCCTCATGGTGCAGGATAGGGATGGCAGAGCACATACAGATCACATCTCAAACTAGAATGGAGTTCTATAATCCTTTTCAAAGTCATTTTCAATGACCTAAGGACTTTCTATAAGGTCCTGCCTCTTAACCACAGCAACTCCTAATCTGCAATCCTTAGTCTAGGCCTTTGAGTATGGACCCTTGGGGAACAGGCAACATTAAAACAGTAGTAAATTATGCACAGGGAAAGATCAATATTTATTCATAAACATGCACACTGTGCTACTTTGTGCAGGCCAAGCAGGTGTTCTTGGTGTCACACTGTATTATGATAAATGCCTACAGGGTGAGATTAAATGAGATGAATGACATATGCTTTGTTATGTAGCATTAACTCCATAATATAATGCTCACTCGAAGGTTCACTTGAACCTTACCAAGTAAGTTTTATTATGTAAGGTTTACTTATTGCACAGCAGTGCAATAACACGGAATCTGATGCCACTTGTATAAATTGCTAAACTCCTAAGATATTTTAAAACATTCAGAGTCTAGTACTTGATTTATTTTTATGGACTGCCCAACCATTTTCCTTCAAGTCCCCAGTGTAGGCCCCACCAGCCCAGGATTCCTGTCCATTCCCCAATGGGCAATGAGTGATCATTCATGCCTGGGTTCTTCAACCCCACCTTTCCCCAAAGTACACTCAGGTGTGATCAGAGGCTGTAATGAGTCACCCTGCAGTACTCTGAGAATTTGTCTTAAACAAGTCCTGGATAATTAGTTTGTGCTTAATGAGTTATGCCTGAATCTAGACTCTCCTGGGATGCAGAGCCTCTCGGGTCCTTGGATGGCTAGAAGGCAAGACATGAGAAGGGATGGTATAGGTACGAGATGACTACAGAGGATGTAACTTTATATGCTTATAATGAGTAAAGGGGAGAAGGATCTTGGGTCAAAGCCCCAGAGTCACTCTCAGACACTTTGGGTAAGTTGTCAGGATGGAAAATGATCTGGTATCTTTCCAACCTGAGGGTCTTGATTTGCCCAGTTGTATGATGTTGTGCAAGGTAATTTTTCAGGTATGATGACTTCCTCTTTCCATCTAGCTCTCTTCCAAGACTTTGCCACATTATAGAAATATTTTGACTAATGAACATTCATCACTTATAAATTTTTTTATTGATAACAGTGCTCATTAATGTTACATACTCTGCAGTGAATCCTCAAAGATCATAACATTTTGACATAACAGGCCCTTAAAGTAGGGTTCAGTACAGTAACAGTTCTTAACTTTTCACCTAAGGAACTTTAAAAAACTTTGTACAGGCCACTTCTCAGAGATTCCAATTAAGTTATCTGAAGGTGCTCAGTAATCTGATTAAATGACAATGTGTGTATTTGCTATTCAAGTGCATTCCAGTGATCACAGTATTGACACTACTACTACAGCACCAGAATGAATGGAATGTCTTAATGGTACGCAATCTGCATTTGTGTTAAGTGTAGAAACACTGCCCTATATGATCCTTATGTGCTGCCCAGGGTGAGGATATTGGATTTAATGGCTGAAGAAAAGGAAGTTCAGTGGATCATCAGTCTGCAGCTGCTATCTCTGGTTTTGTGATCCTTGCACAAGTTCTTGACACAAAGATAGTCCCACAAACTCAAAAGGTAAGCAAAAGGCTGAGAAACCAGGTACATGGTTTTCTTCACGTTTCTTCCCACTATGGTGCCTACACATGGTGTCCAAAGGTATGAACTGTTAATTCAGTTGTGTTAAATACCATCAGCAGTGGAGTGAACTTCCCAGCAGTATATCATTTAGTGAATGAGCTTCCCACATCTCTTAGTGCTCCTCCTCTGCATTTTTGATGGCTTTGAGACATACTTTTTTATTGTTTTGTTTTGTTTTGGGTGCTAGGAATTGAACTCAGGGGCACTGAAACATTGATACATATCACCAGCCCTTTTTATATTTTATTAGAGACAAGGTCTCACTGAGTTACCTTGTGCCTCACTAAGTTGCAGCGGCTGGCTTTGAACTTGCAATCCTCTTCCCTCAGCATCCCAATCTGCCAGAATTATTTTTAGGATATAGCCCACAGAAAATTAAAACTATTAAGTCTGAAATCTGTAGGGCAGTTCTGCCTATAGGAGTTCCTGGGAAGAGTAGATAGTACAGACTTGAGACCACAGCATATTGGAGGTAGAATTCCTCCTCTGCAGGAGAGTGAAGTCTTTTCTCTTATGACCTTCTACTGACAGTAGTAAGGCTCATCACATTTTGGGGGCAATCAACTTCACTCAAAGTCTACTGATCTAAATTTCAATATATTATAAAATATCTTCATACCAACATTAAGAACTAGTTTTTTTTTTTTTTTTTTTACAAAAGCCTGATACCGGAACCTAGCCATGTTGACATAAAACTAATCATCACATGTGATATGAACATCTGAGGAAGACCTCAAATGAGACCTTATAAAATATGTAACATTTCATTTGCTTCCCCCATACTTTATAAAATGCTCATCATATTTTTTTATCTCACATCAATATCACTAAATTTATGTGGATTAATTCATATAGATGTTTAAGTCATTGTAGGACTGAAAAGTGTAATACTCTTGAAACACCCTAATATTTTTCATAAATATAAAATCACATCTGAGAAGTTGGTAATGGAGTGTCAAAATTTAGTGTTATATGGTAAAGTTTAGTGAGTTTGTACTCTGGAAGGATTTAATAACTGTGGTTATTTTACTTAATGGGAGTTTTCTGACTTTAAAGTTAAAGGACTCTGTCTCTCATCCTTATGGATAGCCAACAAGTACTAATAAGCATTGGCCACATCAGACACCATGTCAGGGGCTGCCCTGCTGCAGGCAAGAGGCAGACATGGTCTTTCCTGCGTAGAGTTCACAACCTGGTGGGAAGTCAGTCATCTACCTGTGATCGGGACATTTACTACTATGGGATGAGAACAGGAGGCTGTGCAGACAGCAACAGAACTCACTGAGGGTGGAGATACAAGGGAATTGTTGGTTTCACAAGTACCATCTAATGTCCCTGAAAGATAAGTGAGGATAAGCTAACAAAGAGGAAGCAGAGGGGAGAAGGTAATAGGTTGGAGGAACACCACGTATGAAATTCTAGAGGCAATAGATTATGATTTTCGATCCAGCAGTGTTGGAGAATGGAAGACTTGTATCACTTGGGGGCCAGATGAGACTGTGGAGGGAGATGAAGTTCAGATAATGAAGCACCATTTGTACCCTTTGGAAGAAATTTCATCTTGATCTTAAAAGCAATGAAAATATCCCAGATCATGAATCAGAAGAGATGATCCAATTTCCATCTCAGAATGACATGGTGTGAATGAAGCATATTGAAGGAGGATATTTAAGGTATGGAAAACAGGGAACTGAATTGAATCTTGATATAATTAAATAGTCCAGATGAGATTAGATATCACAAAGGTCTAGGAATGTGGTTTTGTGATAAGAAGTAGAGGAAGTAGCAGAGGAATAAAATGTAGAATATATGGGATGTGGTAGATTTGATTTGCATTGATGGTGACAGAGAAGAATGAAAGAAATGAAGTTCACAGATTTCTGATTGGATCCTACATTCCTTTTACTGAAAAGTGAGAGATTAAAAGAGGAGGAGAGTAGTATGGATGCAATACAACATGCTGTTTCATTAGGAACATGTTGAGCTTAAAATGCTTGTGATGATACATCCAAGGGAAGAGGACCATTAAGCAATGGCATACAGAGTTCTGTGGGTGAGAGAGACATCTCTGTCTTAATTTAAATGGTAATCTACATATTTGGCATAAATGAGATTTTCCTAGGTTAACCATAGAATTATAAGAAGATAGGGTTAACAAAATATTTGAGGACTATCACTCTAAGATATTATAAATCAGAAACCAATTATAGTTCCTTAGGATGAAAACAGAGGTAAGAGAAAATCCAACACTCCTTTTGTGATAGAAGCAAATATATAAGTGTTTAGGAAAGAATGACTACTGAGACATGTTTAAAAGAAGGTGAGATACAGTAATACATGATCATAGAGATTAAGGACACTTGTAAGATGATACTTAATATGATGATGGTGAGATCAACTAATGTAGAACACATAAAGACTGTGTATCAGAGAAAAACGATCATTGTTGTTGGATTTTTAAAGGACCTTATTATTTCTCTTAAAGGTATTGGAGACAGATAATAATGAAAAAAAATCAAACTCACATCTCAGAGTTCCTCCTCCTGGGACTGCCCATTCAGCCAGAGCACCAAAACCTGTTCTATGCCTTATTCCTGGCCATGTATCTTACCACCATCCTGGGGAACCTCCTCATCATTGTCCTCATTTGCCTGGACTCCCATCTCCAAACACCTATGTATTTGTTTCTCAGAAACTTGTCCTTCTCTGACCTCTGCTTTTCCTGTGTCACCATGCCCAAATTGCTACAGAACATGCAGAGTCCAGGTCCATCCATCCCCTATGCAGGCTGCCTAACCCAAATTTACTTCTTCATTTTTTTTGGACACCTTGGGAATTTCATCCTTGTGGCCATGGCCTATGACCGCTATGTGGCCATCTGCTTCCCGCTGCACTACACCACCATCATGAGCCCTAAGCTCTGTCTCTCCCTGGTGGTGTTTTCCTGGGTGCTGACCACATTCTATTCCTTGTTGCACACCCTGCTTCTTCCCAGATTATCCTTCTGTGCAGACAATGTGATCCCTCACTTTTTCTGTGAAATATCTGCCCTGCTCAAGCTGGCCTGCTCTGACACTCGTGTTAATGAGTTGGTGATACTTGTCGTAGGAGGAATTTTTGCTGTCATCCCATTCTTACTCATTCTTTTGTCCTATACAAAGATCGTGTCCTCCATCCTCAAGGTCCCTTCTGCTCGTGGTATCTACAAGGTCTTCTCCACCTGTGGCTCCCACCTCTCTGTGGTGTCACTGTTTTATGGAACAATTATTGGTCTCTACTTATGTCCATCAGCTAATAATTCTACTGTGAAAGACACTGTCATGGCTCTGATGTACACGGTGGTGACTCCCATGCTGAACCCCTTCATCTACAGCCTGAGGAACAGAGATATAAAGGGAGCCCTCAGACGGGTCCTTTGTAGGAAGAAATTTCTCTTCTGAGTATAAAGGGGTTTTATCATAATTTTTCATTAGCATTATTATTGATATTAATATTGGAATATTTTCCTAGAATTTTCCCTCACCATGGGAACTTCAGTTGAAGTAACATAGTACATTATTGTTCAACAGGCAAAAGAAAGAAGATATAGCTGAGTGCTGAACTATGAAAGGTGGTTTTGGGACCTGACTTTGCCTTCCTCCTTGTCTTTCCCAGGTGATGCTGTGAAAAGCCTATGTGAAAGCTACGTTTTATGTGCTTTCCAGTTCTTACATTCCTTAAATTATTCCTAGATCTTTCAATGTTATCTCAAATCTGGTTTGACTATGGTACAATTTTTAAATAGTGCTCCATAATCTTATATGGATACTCAGTAACTTCTCTATATCTCAATCTCCCAGCAAACCTCTAACATATTGTACATAATATTCTTGCACAAATTCTGTCATCATTTTATCTCCTATTTTCTTCTGTACCCCTTATTTATTTTCATGTCTACCTTGTCTTTTATTCCCTGTCCTGACAATAAATTTTTTCTAATCCTCTGTGCAATAGTGTCATTGAACAATTTTGTGTTCCCTTGTAATTAACTAATCCAGGAACCCTAGAATTTTTTGACCCAGGAATGGGCAAAAAGTTAGAGGCTGTGGGAAAATTTTAATTTTTAAAGTTACCTCTGTTTTGTTTGGTAGTTTTACTTTGCAATATGTTTTATTGTATCCCTGTGACAATTCGAAGGAAACAGAGAAGATATTATCACTTATTTATGGACTAACATCTGTGAAGTTCAACACTTTCCAGGCCATGCAGTGGGTTAGTTATTAAGGCTGTGTAAGATCAGAGACTGAAGATTCTTTTCATTTTCTCTCACTTCCAAATGAAGGATAGCATCCATTGTTTTCTAAAAATTTTAGCATCACCATGACATGGACTTTTTCTGGCCTTGGTCCATTCCTTTTCTTAATTGTCCCCTCTGATGATTTTCAAATCCATTCCTTTCATATAATCTCCTGACCTCACTACTTTATCTGAAGGTCAGATCTTTCTCCAAAACTCTCAGCTGTCCTTAAAAAAAAAGGTTTAATGCTATATTATTTATTCACTTATTTTAATTTGTTCTTTTTAGGTATACATGACAGTAGAGTGTATTTTGACATAATATACATGCATGGAGTATATCTTAGGATTCTATTCTTGTGGTTGTACATGACATGGAGTTTCACTGGTTGTGTATTCATATATGAACATAGAAAATTATGACCAATTCATTCCACTGTCTTCCCTATTCCTATTCCCACTCCTTTCCCTTCATTCTCCTTTGTCTAACCCACTGAACTGGTATTCTCTTATTGTGTGTTAAAATTTATATATCAGAGAGAACATTCAACTTCAGTTTCTTAGGAATTGGCTTATTTCTCTTAAGCATGATAATCTCTAGCAAATTTAATAAAGTCTCCCGGGTATATCTCTGGCTCTGGGGACCACCTTAGTAACAGAAGAAACTATACTTTGCAGGTGCTATTGGGCACCTAGATGTCTCTAGTTCCACTAATGCTCAAAAACAGCGGCAGAAAAACTTGAGATGGAAGGCCATATCAAGAGTTTCTGTCTATGCTAATGAATGTCAAATGGCATTTCTTAGGAAATATTATATGGTTCAGTTTTTTGGGGCATAGACTTGATGCACAATCATTCTGTCCTCTTTTAGCATCTTATTCAACCATGTCGTGAGCCAAATGTGAAACCTTAGCCCCAGTAGAGCCACAGCCAACTAATGGCAAAGCTGAGACTAGAACTCACGGACTGGGGTTTTTTCCTTTGCACTGTTTTTTTTTTCCTTTGTATGACTGAAAGAGAAAGTGACTGTACTTCCAGGGATCCAGGTTTGGGGGCCTTGGCACTGGCTGGAAGGTGCCAGCAGTCAAGGCTGCTGGTGAGTCCTTGGTCTATGCTGTTTTCTGTCAGGAGGGCTTTTCTCTTGGATTGGTTTGCAAGGACTCTAAGATCTGGGATGAAGCTTGAACAAAGAAAACGGAGAGGGAAAGGGATTCCAGGGAACAGCTCCTCAGTGCCCTCTGCTCTTCAACTCCAGTCTGTAAGGTGGCAGAGGCCAGGGCACAGATGCAGTTTACCTCAGCTTCCTTGCTGCAAATTAAGACAATGTGGCCAGAGAAAACTCTCTCACAATTTTCTCTGATTCTTAAAGAAAAATGGTTAATAAAAACCTATGTTTAAGAGACGAGATGGGACATGGCCTATTCCACTTTCCTTACCTTGAACCTAAAAGGTGCCAACTCAAACACCACCTTTTTCATTTGTTTCTTAATCTATAGATATGGTTGTGTTGTGGGGAATGGTGGGGGATTTAAGTAGATCTTACAGCTCCAGGGGCTGGAAGGGACCAGGCCAGTCATCCATGTTCAGGACCCTCTGGCTCCTCCCCCACTCCAGCTACTCCTTATCAAAGTCAAGGGCAGGACAGTGAAGTTTGCCAAGGCTGCCCCTGCAGCTTGGTGGGGGCCTGTGGGGGCATTCCTCTACCCAGTTCCAGTGTCTGTTTTACCATCAGCCCCTCGTCCACCCCTATTCCCACCCCTCTCCTTTCTGCTGGGCCATGTACCCCTTTGTGAGGAAGAAGATACCTTCACTTAGGGCCACAGGCAGCTGAGTCCTGCCTACTGAGAGGCTGTTGGGACAGAGGCTCTGTCCTGTGCCTTATCAGCCCTGGGGAGAGGATGTTTGGCTGGAAGACTGGAATTTAATTGCCATTGTCTTTGATTTTGTGATATTTCTGCTTGGAGGGGTGAACCCCCGCTTCCCACTCTTTAGCATGTGTGCCAACTCTCCGCTGTCATGGGTGTTACCCTTCGACACTCCAGCTCAGGGAGTGCTGACGTCCTCATGTGAAGAGATTCCTGTGTGATAGAACCTAAGAAGTGTAGCTTGGAAGTGACCCCTGTGATGATGACGTTTCTTTCTTTCCTCTTAGTGAGGAGGTGATTTGTAGACCCTGACTGCCTATGTAATGTAAATAGTGTACATTTAATTTATTGCTATGGTAGCATATTGTATTTGTTAATGTATAAAACAAATTCTAAAAGGTTGACAAATGTATATTTTGTTGCTTAAATGTGTCTTTGCAGAAATTGACAATAAATAACATATTTTGTGTCCATCAGTGTTCAAACTTCTTTTGCTGGTGGCCCCAGGCCTGGGTATCACCTTTCAGTTCACTGGAGGTTGCAATATTATCTGAACTATAGATGTGTTAACTTTGGCCTGAAAAGCATTTAAATTTTTTAAAAAATGAGTCATCAATTTTTAAAAAACTAACCACAACTTTCAAAACTACACCTAGACATTTTACATAAAAATCTCAATTTTCTGTTTCTCTTGAAAAATCAGATACTGAATCCATTTTTCAGGCATAAATTCATCAGAGTTCACTGGAGTCTGTCTTTTTGGGTGGGACATGATTACACTACAGTTTTCACAACTCCTTATTGTCTATCTCTGGAGAATTTTACTCTTTCCCATTGTTTGTTTTTGCATCTTTAGGTATGAGTTTAGATCTCTGGCATTCACAGATTTGTCTCCATTGTGCAATTATTTTCCTCTTTCCATTTTCTGAAATTACTGATTTACTTCTTTAAGGATTCTTTCATAACTAATATCCTTCTGTTCCTATCATTCTTTGACTCCTAAATGGCCACACTCTTTTATACACATTGCTTTATACTGTTTTGGGTCTAGATTTAGAAGTAATATCTGTAAGTATATATTTTTTTCTTCAGAAGTTTGAAGACAAGGAACAAATATTTGAATATCTGATAGGAATCGGTTTTGTGATCTTGGGCAAATTACTTCACACAATTTGCATTTCTTTTATGTATTATCAGAAATCTAACCCACATGCCAAGCATGAGGATAAAAATGAATTCATAACTTGGGAAGAGCTTTGAAAAAATGGAAAGTATTATTTAATCACCAGAAATTCAATAATTATGATGATATCAATGGTAGCAGATGACATTTATTGCAACCTGACAATGTGGTAATTGTTTTACATATATAGTCAATTTTGTTATAATATACTAGTTTCTAAAAACAACACTGTTTGAAATCATGCAACCATAGAACTTACAGAAAAAATGAGGACAGATGCATAACACTCAAAATCTTTATCAGTGGCACATAAACATAAAAGGTTATATTTATAACATACTTAATAAAAATGCTAATAATTTTATACATATTTATGATTAAAAATACATAAATATTATAATACACAGACATTTGAGCTTGAAAAAGTCTTGAAGTTTGCTTGTGGAAATGGGTGTTAAAAGGGTTGCCATTTATGAATTGCATGAAGACATAGAGGGGATATATTTCTGAAATTGGATGTGTGCCATGCAGCTCAGTTTAACTAGGTTCAGTTTTCTACTTCCACACATTTCTCATGGGTGAATTATAAAATCACTTTATATAATACACTTTGCATTATACTCCAGTCATTTCCTATTGTATCAATTGTGTTGGCATCAATTCCTATTTTTGTTTTTATTTTTTGGTGGCACTAAAGATTAAACCCAGTGTATCTTTATCACTCAACCACAATCCCAGCCCTTTTTATTTTGAGGCAGGTCTCACTATGTTCACTAGGCTGGCCTCAAACTTGAGATTCTCCTGCCTTAGTCTCCTGAATAGTTGGGATTAGAGGTATGCATCATCACACTCAGGGAAACCCCTTCTTAAAACTCACACTATTCTGACTGACTCTATTCTCATTTAGTCATCCAAACAACCCTTTAAGATGTGTTATTTTTTCCATTTAATGTAAGGGCTCAGAATCAGTTCAGTTTGGGACCCAAATTTAGTAGACTGATGTCAACATGAAGGTAAGTTCCATAATGTTGAGAGTTTTGGATACATAGAATGCTCCAGTTAAAGTGCATCCCAATTTTCTCTGATTTCCCTGCACAGCTGGCAGTCCCTGTCTTGG